CGTCAACTGCTAACTGACTGACATGATAATTAATGGCAATTTTGCTTTTTGTGTTCCAACTCACGCGATGTACACGGACATGGCATCAGCTATACCGAGGACAAATGCTCCCTTCCCCAAACCATCTCACACTTCTACATGTGTCCACTATGCCATACGGATACATCCTTACTTGGAATTGTTTACCCACCTATGGCTAAACAAAAACCACGACTGTGGCTAACCAATCCAATGCCACTCAACACAGCTGAAAAGTGTACAAGATAACTCCTTATTTGTGGCAAAGAAGCCTATCTACTCTATCTCACCGCTAAGCACAACATACTGAACGTGGCGTATCCCAAGACCTACAAGTTAGAAGACAGCATAGGATGTGGTGGAGGGAAGGAGAGAAGCAGTAACTCATTCTTACATCCGACCGTATCGCCATCGTCATTTACCGTGTTCCCCTACTGAGAGGTCCCCAGTTAAAAAGCGGCATTGGACAAGTGGCCGACTACATTCAAAATGGACCAAGTAAGTGTGAAATCGGAGTAAGGCGGAAACGAAGACGCCCAGACCCAGCTGTAACTGTTTACTTCTGGGTGACAAACAGCCAGGATAAATAACAACGAATTGGAATTTGAGTCTAGCTAGTGCCTCATCGGAAAACAACCACACATTGTGTGGGTTATTGCAACTAATAAAAAGATGCTTCAAGGAGGTTTCCCTATTTGTTTATCCTTTATTATAGGGTTCAACGCAGACGCATCCAGTCACCTTACAACTTTTTGTAACCTTCTAATAATGAAAAATAATCCAATTTTCGGCAAACGCAGGTTTTCTGGTAGAGCCACCTCTAACCGATTCAGCTCCATTTCCTAGTAAAAAAAGGAGTTACAAGAAGATGCAAAGAAAACAAGATAGCTTTGTCGGATCAGTGCAGAGTATCTTATTACCTATACACTACCCACTTGACTTGCACATACTTGAAGTCTCTTTATCAATACCTTAACACTGGATTAGGAAAGATCGATTGACGTGTTTTTATTCTGCACACAAATTATCTTTCACAGACTGTAAAATCACATGCTTACGTCAAAACGAAGCAAACCCCAAAATCTACTTCAGTACTTTAGGGGTACGTGTTAACACTAGATCTCATCTAGTGCTCTTTAAGGGTACCGTTAAATAATATAACTATAAGATATGGGAATTAAACGGATAGTGGAAAACAAGGGAATAGAGAGAAATGAATGAGAAATGGAACAAACTCAAAGTACGGTTCCCAGGCTCCACCTTTACTTAGTAGGCCGTCTGACTTGGTCCGTAATTCCGCAGATTAAAAGGGAGAGCGTCAATGCGAATCGCGGTTAATTACAAATAACCAAACAACTTTACAACAGTGAAACTTTACACTTTATTCCATTGCAGGTGGGGTAAATCACTTACTTTTAAATAAACTTTCACAAGAAGGGATATCCGCCAAAGTCGTCATTTTACGCACACCGTATCGAGACAATCTATGAAGTGCCCTTATCGACGAAGACAAGTGGTGCACTGTTCTGTAAAGCATTAATCGGATTGGTCTTTGGTTAGTTGCTCAGGTAAGAAAAAGCCTGTTACAAAAAATTGCATAAGAAAATGCCAGCGCAATTGTCATAACTTATTCTACAAATTCATGAAGAGCGATTAAACAACTATTGCATTAACAGCGAGTGCATTTAAACCTAATTTTTAGAGCTATATGATTCCAAATCTATATGCTTTATCACTTTTCTAGAAGACAAAAACTTTTCTGCAATGCGTTTTTGCTAAACATAGGGATGTTAAAATAGCATGCCTCACACAAAAAAACATTTCTGTGTAGGCCTAAAAATCATACTAAAAGCATCCTTTGAAACGCAAGTATTTACTAACTAAATATGCTGAAGGTTCTTTCTGGTAAATCCCTCTAAATCGTTGTTATAGTGCGTTGTGCTGTGTCTATCTTTCGGCCTAACCAATCATACCTATCCTAAAGGTCAGTTACCTTCCCAGTCTTGAATGCCTGTTCTATTTTGCCCCTTGTGCGATTCTCTTCTCTCAATCGAAGAATCTTCTCATTGCCTTGCACTGAACTGCACTGATCCAAGCTGTGCATACCAGTGGTTTGTGACCTCTCCGATCGTCCAGGATCACATTCCGCATGCTGATATGCGATTACGACTGGAAGAAGATGCAGTCTTCTCCACTGCTGATGCTTACAGTTCTTCCGCTCAAATCGAAGAAAAGTGTCCGAAGTGTGGGCATAATCGAGCGTATTTTGTTCAGATGCAGACCCGTTCCGCGGATGAACCTAGCACTACTAAGTACTCCTGCATGAAGTGCCTGTATGTTTGGACCGAAAACTGACCCTCGTACTGCATTTTGCTCATGAGGTACCGTCCATTCGCATTGCTTCTATTTTACCTGTTTGGTGTTTTCTTTATCATTTGAAACGTATTGGCTGCTCTTACATCATGAATGAATCCGATTTACGTAGCCAACGTTAGAGATATCAGTTTTTTTATAATAAATTGGCATTCAGACCCTTGGGTAATCTCATTTGATTTTCACAGCTGAGGGCGGGGATCTTAGTACTGGTACGATTATTGACCAGATATGGCACGGGCCAAATATGATGGCTTTGAATATGCTCCCCGCTGCCAGGGGAAGTCCTTCGTGTTAGTACTCTTCTTTAACTCGAAGCAAACATGTCTCATATGTGTGATGTACGGGCTCGGGTGAGAAAATGGGGGCGTGATACACGTGGTGCTGGTAGCGGAGTTGCCGACTACCGCCGCTCTGTCCTTCATCTTTGAGTTCAGATAAGGCAAAACACTGGTTTGGCATTCAGGCTAAAAGAAATTCTCAGGGAATACCAGGGGGAAATCAGTAATGGTTACTTCTAGTGACCTCGATGATTTGAAGTCTACTGCCAGTTTATAAAAGACTCCAGGATTGTGGAGTGAGGGAGTACATGAGATTTTTTACTCAACAAAATGAAAATTAGGTGTGAGTGCGAAACTGATGAAACGTTGATTGGCAAAGAGCGAGTACCTTCATCTGCCTCCAGGCGTCTCCATTTCTGCTCCACACGGATTTTGCACTTACCTAGGCGTTTTACTTATGTTCGGACAATTGTCAGATACAAATATAAGGAGAAGATAGTAGGTCATCACTTTCGGACTGAAGCTGCCTCACTAGGGCAACACGGAAGACGACGATGACGGTGAGGTCGGGATTAATGTAGGCCTTAGGTTATGCCACGTCCATTATGCAGTTCTTAGCGGTGAGATAGAATAGTTAGACTTCTTTGCCACGAATAAGGAGTTATCTTGTACAACTTTTAGTAGCGTCGGGTGGTGTTGAGTGAGTGGATCTCTGGCGCAATTTTCGTTTACCCCTCGGTGGGCAGTTGTCTGTGTCATATGGTGGACACATGCAGAGGTGTGAGGTGGTTTGGAAAAGTAAACAGTTCGCTTGAGGATATTCAATACCATTGCCGTGAGTTGGTATACTAAAGCAACGATGCGGCTACTCATCATATGCCAGTCAGTCAGTAGGCAATGCTGAATGCACGAAGAGTCATCGTAACGTGAGGAAGCACCTAGTAGACATTGCAGCCCATCGTCCGTCGTCTGATGAAATATGTGAGTGGGGTCTACTGGCGTGTCGCCCGATAGGGTCTCACTAATGATTCCCATCGCACCATACAACTGCTGAGATGCATCAGTGAGAGCTTCGTAGACACACGTCTACATC